CTGTGGAACAATATTTGACCCTTGTTTTTTCCTATTTTCTTTTTCATGGTGCAGTCTACTCAAAAGCTATGTAGAGACGCGAATACCATCACGGAGTCAAACCACACTAACTCGATAATTATAGAGCGAGGTTACACTACATCTTGCTTTTTTAAATGTATGCGCAGCTCAACTCTCAACCATTAAATGAGGCTTAAAACGATCTTATTTGTTAAGTTTTTTCAACTTTCATCATCAAGTGGTAACTGATTTTTTTTTTTTAAAGCTTGGATAAATTTTTTTGCTCTATCATCTGATGGTTAATAATGGCTGAGAAATGGAATCCATCTACATTCCAAAATTTTGGGATGTCAACCTTTAATACATTTACGTTGCATCATAGCCATTACTTTCTTGGATAACAAAACAGAACTTTTTGGATATAAAAGCAGGAATATTAACCGTACAATTTTGTATTCCCATTTTAGAAAAATCAAAATAACTCAATTCCCACATTGTTTCAGAGGAAGAGATATAAGTGAAAGAATTCTCCTTGTGTAGACACGGGAAACAAAAAAAGAGTTATTTATATTTTTGTACCTTATATTTTATGTTTATTTATAAAACATACTATCAAATTTCAATATTATCAAGAGTATACCTTTGAATTACAATTATTACATAAATTTATACCTTTTCTTAGTTAAAACTTGATTTTGACTTCTGAAATGATTAAATTAAGGGATTGTGTAACTTTTTAAAAACAATGATAGACATCGTATACATACTCACTTGAAGAATAATTTAGCCATTTAACAAGTCAAAATATCGACAAAAAAGAGTATAGATTTATATATTAATTGTAACTCAAATATATACTTTTGATGAAATTAAAATCGATTGTATACGTTTTGAATAAACATAAAGTACGTAATATAAAAAGGTAAATAATCTAAAAAGAAATAATAGAATAAAAGGTATTGCGAGCTACCCCTTAGCATCGCATGATACAACGTGGGCCTTACAAAGGGGAAAAGTCTCTTTGATAGTTGAGTTTGCACTTCTCTTACTCCCTTAATATTTGAGAAAATGAGATAAATACTTCTTAAAAAATATATAGGTTTTAAATTTTTACCATTTACATTTAATTAATATATTTTAATCAAAATACTATATTAATCAAAAGAGTATCAATCAACAGTAAAAAAATAAAAATCTTAGAACAATGCATTCAAACGGCGAGTTCACCAATTTTCTCTTAACCATTATTTTAGTTGAATTAGAAGAATACCACTTTTATAGAATTAGTATTCTGACATATCATTTTCAAAGTAGTAAAGATGAATAACTAGACTTCAAAAGTGATTCCAGTCTAATTTACACCAATGAAGATTTGTTTACAAGAATTTGGATAAATTAGTAAAATCAATCCTACTCGAAGGTAACGGACCACAAATTTGCCGATCAAGGCATTGGGCCACAAAGATTGGAGTCCTCACGGCACATAATTGCATGGAACAAGCTCTCTCTATATATTCTTCTGCTTGGCTTTATTGGGTTTTCCCAAGTTTCTCAATGCTAAGCTAGCTCAAAACGTATCTTTCAGTCTGTATTTTCAGTATTCAGTAGTGCCCCATTTGAAGCATTATTGACTTCATGACTTCCCTTCAAATATATGTGTGTCTATATATATATATATATGTATGTATATATATATGTGTGTGTGTGTGTGTGTATTGGCTTCATGACTTCACTGTTTAGTTATGCCAAGTCTTTTTCAACATAATAAGGCATTTGACAAATTGCCCATTTCATATTTCAACCCATCTACGTACCATTACTAATTAATGAATGAGGGCTATTCATCTTTCTATATGCAACTTTCATATTTATATTTTTAAGTCAACTTAGGAGATCACACACACACACACACATAAATGTGTAGACAGTCATTGTCATAGCTTTTAGGAATGTTAACAAAGTGACCATTAGCAGGAGCACATTCTAGATACATCACAATCAATACTATAGTTTAGTACACAGTATTGATTAAAATATTCTTGAAATTTTAATTGGTGGAACAAGTAATAATAATGAGGATGATGATGGTGTTTTTCGAGGTGAATTCAAAGAATTGAGCTGGTGATCATGGTTGTTTTGCTTGTATTAATTCAAAGAACCGATTTAAGTGATGATATTGTTTGCCAATATAGATTCAAAGAACCGAATGGCTAAATGACTAAAACAACACAAGCTCACTATCTTTTCTGCACAATTAGGGACAGTGAGCAAACTTAGGCTTACATTATAAATACCAATTGTGTCCAACACCATATACTTAAAAAAAAATTCCGACAATACGCACCTACCATCTATCAAATGTAATGTTAAACACTACCCGTACCTTAAAACCCTTTTAAATTGACAATTAGGGGCAGTTTTTCTTTCTTATACCTTAAATTCCTTTTGCGTTTATTGTGGAAAAGTTAGTCTAATTTTGGAATAGCTTAAAAGAAGTAAAGCAAGAAGACTTCTTTTCCCTTAGTTTTTGGCTGCAAATAAAAAGGGAGGCAGAAATTACTTCATTACTTCATGACAACCAAATATGGTGGACATATACAAGGTCCCCATCAAATAGTTAAACAGAGCTGCTCATAACATTTACTATTCGTTTTGCATGCTTGCCTCATCAAAGTTGCTTATCCTTTTAACATATTGACAAATCCTTTTAGCTTTTCTAATGTCATATTGTATGGTAATGGATATATCAGAGTTTAGCCTAAAGGGAGGACCTCCATGGAAAGGAAAGAAAGGACCTTTTCTTTCTTACTTTGTTTGGGAGCTCAATTTACAATCATACATGAGAGTGGTGGCAGTCATATCAGAAATCGTCACTGCTTCTAAAGTTGACCATCCAAATTCCTGCTCATTTTCTTGAGAAACAATGTTGGCAGTGCTCTTAGGACCCGTTTAGTTTGTTGATTCGAGTTGATATATAATTTTATGTGAGAACTTTTTATTGTAATAAAAAAGTTAGATGTGATTATTTATGAGAACTTTTTACTGTAATAAAATTTGAATTCTAAACTTAAACCCATAAAGTGAGCGGGACCTTAATTTTTACTTTTGTTTTCAGTTGTCCATTCTATATAATTCATCAACCGAAAAAAGTTTTCTAAAGATAATTTGAATTCGGAACTTGTAAAATTGTCCTAGACAGGATCTAGTCATCTAGTCTGCTTAATCCTAAGTTTTCAGTACAGGGGTCTAATGTAGGAGTTGACATAATCATTTTTCCCGAAAGTTTCAACTAATAGAAGTGCGAAATCAAACCCTTTAAATATTATCTAAGACCAAACTCAGAATCCACCACAAACACTATTTATTGAGGCTCTTATTTTGGGAATCCACCCTAAGTATTATCAGTTTAGGTCCTTACTTCAGGAATCCACCCCCAATACGAGGAGTTAAGGTACTTCTTTGAGACTTATATTTCGTTCATTTCACCGATTCGAATTTTTAATTCTAAATTTTTACAGTAAAAAGCTCTCAGAAAATGTCACGTAACAATAAAAAACTCTAAAAAAATGTCACATCTCAACTCGAATTTAAAACTTAAATTCACAAAATGAACGAGGCGCTATATCACATAGACTCACCCGCAAGTTTATAATGATTTAAAAAGTGGTTAAAAAGTTACGTTCAAACCATGAGAACTCAAGGGAGGGTTGGTCTACGCTTGTGCATCAGGGTCATTGCGAAAAACAAAGGCAAAAATATACAAAGGTTCATCCCAAAAGAGATTGTAGTCAGAAGTGATGTTGAACAGGGCGCTTGCATCAGCATGTTGCAATTGTACGACAATGGAATCAATATTAATTTATGACCTTTCAGAATCTGAAACTTTCATCTGCTGTGAAACTGGCCCCTAGGCTTTTTTAGGTGAATTATTTGACAAGGACAAGCAGAAACCGTAAATGACAATGCCCTTTGTTGAATAATGTGAAATAATCTAATGGTATGTGTCATGTGTGTATAAAACGTGGCACGCATAAAATTGGGCAAATGGCAAAAGGTGCCACAATAATGTAAAGGGCATATATAAACCAGATTCCAGAGGACAAAGCAATATGATTCAATCAGGGGAGAGGGCAGCGACAAGGTAGTTTCTGATTCAAAGGAAATTTCATGGCATTATTAGCTTATTGCCTTATTCCTGAAAGGTAAAGCAAATAATGATGGTAAACTTTGATCTAGTAAAGTAATTCAATTGTAATTTCCTGGGTTGTACATATTTCTTTCCCTTTTAAAACCTCTACTTTTTCTTTCCAAATAGTTTTTTTTCTAGCAAATTAAGGTTGAAAGGTGTTATTACTTGTTAGGCTGATGCAAGGTTTAAACCTTAAGCTTTTACCTTCTAACCAACAAGAAAATTGTTAGGTTTTGAGTTATATATTTCATCTAACTGAATACTCTGATCCCCAAATAAATAAATTCTAAGAAAAAGTACAACAATGTGGCTCCAATCATGTTAAGCCACGTCCTTTCTTTTAATATGATATGATCTTGATCTCGTTCTGTTCAATTAGTTTCCAAAGTTCAACGGCCAACATCCATGACCAAATCAGTTACAACTACTCCTAATTTCTCAACCAATGCAATAATTCTTCTTGAAAAAATATTTAAGGACACCGACATTGCTAAAGCACTACCACTGATAGAAAATAGACCCATCTGTAGACTCTATGCTGTGAGACTCATTTTCTATTAGTGAGTTGTGTTAAACACAGTTAGCGTCAAATAGCATTGACTTCTTTCCGTGCCACCCCCAAAAAATAAACAGATATACACGTGTGCAAAATTTGATTGGTTTTGTCAATCCGATCCAGTGAATGTCATTTTCCTGATCTCTTTCCTGAATAATTTGTCATACAATAGGCTATAAACAGTCGAGAAAACATATAAAGATCTAAAGATTCTAAACTACCAGAATTATTGTTCTCAAAAGAGCAACTCTACAAGGCAAGAGGATTAAAAGTAGACTCTACTGTTAATCAATCTTCAAAAAAATATAGAAGATATACCAGTAGATAACAAGCCAACCATTTTCAAAATAGTAGGAAGGCGAAATATTATAATACATTCCGATAAAATAATAATAATAATAATAATAATAATAATAAGATCAATGCCATGGATATCCATTAGGGAAAAAATGAGGCATTACTACACAACTCACAGCAGTAGATCAGAGGTAGTCTGTATGTGTGCATATTCACATCAAATGCTGCTGTGAGAAGATAGCATTTGCTTTGGTGATGTAAATGGGACGCAACTTTTCTAGCAATAAGCAAAAGCAATTCCCAATTTTGGGTCCGATCTGGATGTTAGAAACTGTTGTATATCACCCCCGAAACTTAGCTTGGCTCGAAATATGTTGGCATTTGACATTTGCCTCACGAACCGAGTAAAACGAACCCAATTTTGATATTCAAACATGTTTTTGTCCATCCTCACAAAGTTGAATGAGAAGGAGGGCTTTTCTAGACCATCTGAGTAAAACCTCGACATCTTCACAACCTGTCGGAACGAGGGATCGTCCAAATTTGCAGCAGAGTTTTCGCCTTCAAGGGGTACGTCACACACCCTAGCTGCCAATAGCAGCTGCTTAAGAAAGCCCTCCGGGCTACTGACGGAATTCATCTGTTTCTCTTCTCTATCTTGCATTTCAAAACATGAGCAGCATAAAGTGAAACCGTACCTACCAAATATGCGAACAATTGGTAGGTATCCATCCCTCATCGAAGTATTGTAGTAGCCAGCAGTCAACTCTGATGGATGAGACTCTGTGCCATAATGCCAGTGGATGCCAGCCACTTTAGCCGACATATTAACTTCTGTACCCCGGAAAATTGTCCCAGCTACCCTACATATCCTTTCTCCATGCTGCAGCAGCATTCCTGAGTACCATTCAAGAAAAAAATTTCCGTACGGAGTGTTCCAAGATCCCTTATCACTTCTGAAGAAGTCTGAATGCTCAGGGTCATGCATCAAATTGCCAGTTCCAACAGGTCCCCCGTCTCCCCATTCTCTCATCCCAATCTCCCTTGCACAAGCATTGAGAGACGCAAGCATATACTGACAAAAGCATTTAAAAAATAAAAAATATATATATAAATATATATATATATATATATTACGACTGCCAATATCATCTCAGGCTAAAAGGAGTTGGTGAAAATACATTAGAAAACCTACTCCAGGAAAAATAAAAGTGTCAATTGTAATTAGAGATAAAAGGGTTTTCCCCTTACCTTATCATAGCACTGAAACTCTCCAAGTTCACGAGAGCGCCAAGCCCATGTGAGCTTATGGGAAGGACATGAGGGATACCTTAATTCACCTGCAGGACCCATCCCAACCTGAATTCCCTACATACCAAGAACACCTAGCTTAAAGATCGAGGCATTATCATGTGGTCAATTTCCAGAATCATGATGGCATTATCTTACTGTAATAATAGCACCAAAAAAGGGTCTAAAAGCATCTCTGAAGTTCCTCATAAAATCTGTATAAGCTTGAATTGGAGAACGGCCACATAAAACCGGGAGCATATCACATCCAAGAGAAATGTATTCCACATTCCTTCGACCAAATCTATCAGAAAAAGCTAAATCTGGATCTTTATCAATCTCTTCAAGTACCCACAGCGGAAGAGGAATCCTTCAATCCACAAAAGAAGATGATTCCAATTCAGCATGATTAAAAATAAAATAAAAATAAAGAAGAAAACACTAATAGCAATTGAAAGGATAGCCAGCAACAAGCCATTACATTGAAAGTTTTTTCAAATTAAATAGATACTACAGTACAATAGAGAAAATAGTTACATCTACTAGAACTCGAGCTTCGGGATGAATTCCACTATTTGTAGATTGATGAATGCATTCGACCAATGTCAAATAACAAGATCCATGCACAGAGTGGTGTGTGTGTGTGTGACAAACGATGCCAATTCCAAACCTCTCACTTTATTTCCTTTGTTTTTTTGGTTGAACTCTCACTTCATTTCTTATCTGCACGAACATACGACTGAAACCCTAAAGCATTAACCAGCAGAACATAATACTACGTAAATCAGCAAATACCCAATACAAAGCTACGAATTCACCTCGACATAGTCAAGAAATGACTCGACCAATATATGCTCTAAAAAGTTTGATATCACATAAAAATCATCCTAAAACAAAGGATCACCAATTCAATTCTACTGTGAATCTCCAAGAAAAACAGTTACGCAGCTCTAGCCAGATCATCTATCATAACGACCTAAAAAAATTAAAAATGTGAAACATTGACTCGAACAGAATCCAATATTCTAATTTTGAAGCATGCTCCCAAATCCATAGAGAGAACAAAGTGAATACCCATTTAGAGGCAGTAGAATTATCTTCTTTAAAAAAAAAAATTGAATTCAACATCCCAGCTTCCTATTTGAATGACTTTAAAAGATCATAAAGTCGCCATTTTTTTTATTTTTTTAATAGAATAAAAATCTTTGCTTAAGCCTGTTAGCATTAGCTGGCATGGCAACATAACAATAAGATTCCCAATAGCCCTATTCCAAAATTGAAATTTCCAACCTATTCACCCTTTAAACAACAATGACAATCAGGAAAGGGAATTTCATTACTAAAAGGAACTTATAAAAGTTTCCTGATCGAAATAAATAACCAAAAATTAGACTTTATTCCAGTACACTAATCAAACTACTCCAAGAACAATTTCATATCTACAAAATGGAAATTAAATTATACTAACCAATGAGGGTCCCCGGGTCCAGTGCCGCATTGATGAAACGCCATGACCGCTCGAACCTTCAGCCCACACCTTCGCGCGAGCGCGATAATCTCCAGATAGCCTTGCCAATTGTAAACCCTAGGCCGATCCCTCTCCACCAAACCCCACCAGACCTCCATGACCACGCCCTCAACTCCGGCGGCCGCCAGCGCACGGAACGACTGCGCCATCGCCTTACGCCGCCGGACCTGGCCGGCAGGGCCCACGGCGTCCACCGGGAGCGTGACGAACACCGGCGATCCCCTCCTCGGACGCTGTGGTGAGAATCCATAAAACAGCTCGTACTGGAGATCGCCGCCGTTGTCCGGCGAGACGGAGCCACCGGCGCCGGAAGGCGTCGACGAGTAGAACCGCGACGAGATGGCGAGTCGGCGGTTTTGGGGATGGTGAGCTCGGCTCCGCTGGGCGTGCGGCGGAGCAATGGAGGGGAAGCGAGTGAAGCCCGGTGGCAGTGACTCGCTCCGAGTGCAGCAGAAGGAGGCGGAGAAGCTCGGAGCGGACGGAGATGCGATCGCCATTAGAGGAGTTAGTGAAGGATTTAGGGTTTGAAAAAAAAAAAAAAAGGAAAAATAAAATAAAATAAAAGAGGGAAAAAAATTTGGGAAAGAGGAAAATTTTGCGTTTTTCCTTTTCTGCAGAAATTTGAGTGTAGTACAGTCCGTTGCTGGTGAATGTGCTTCACAGGGACAAGAATAGAGATCGCTATCATTTCGATTCAACATGTGATTTCTGAGATGGGCTTCACTAGATGCCCAAAGTGTATTGGGCTACGCATTTTAGGCCTGCTAATTGATCAGGTCCATTTGTTATGAGAATATACAAGAATTCAATTACACACCTTTATGGAAAAATTCGATTTTGAATTATAAAGAAATTTATAAGTAAAATCAAGTTATCACTTTTGAGTCAACACATTTAATTCTTCGTTGCCACATGCATGCAGATGCAGGCGGTAATAATTGAGTCATTGACTAATAACTGATTATCATCTACCCTGGATTCATGATTACCACTCTAATAACAATAATAATAATGATATAGTGGCAATAATAATAACTTTACCGATCTTAATTGAGAATCTTTAAAGCCTCATTATCATATGCATGTTTCTAATCGATAATAATTTTTACATAAACATAATGGCTGACAAAAAGAATCTCACTCTTCACAAAAAAAAAAAAAAAAACAAAAACAAAAAAAAAATCAAAAACAAAAACAAAATCTTACTAACAATTTTTTTAAATCCTACCGTAAAAATCTCTATTTTCATTTTTGTTGTCTACACCAAAAAAAAAAAAAACATTATTTTTCCCTTTTTATTTATTATGCTCCGAAATAGGTCAATCGATTACTAAATAGTACAAATCATGCTACAAGCAAAAAGAAATAAAGCACCAACGGTGAGCAAAAAAATAAATAAATAAAGCACCCAGGGTTGCTTCTTTCCTTACTCCCTGGATTCAGCAGAAGAATCACAAATACGGCAGTATTCGTCTGAAAAGTTCAACATGCACAAGGATTCCTTGCGCTTCAGTTTCGTGTACATTTTCATTTCTAGGTACAAAGCAAACGAAGATGTTTCCAAGTATTAGGCTAAAAATCTAATGAACTGAAAAAAAAAAGATGATATTTACACAAAATAATAATCATAAATAATAATATCTATAACAATAAAATGATGTGCAACACTATACAACACATCCGCAACATATTACCAAGGAATTAGGGGGGAAAAAAAACCCAAACCATAAATGAGCCCCAAGTATAAAATAGCAAATGATAAAATAGAAGAATAAACGTTGAATGAATATGACAAATGGTGACATATAACAGTGGATGAAGCTAAATATTGTGTGGTTGGCATTAATGCCACAAAATGAGCAAGTATACAGAATGACTACAAACCAACCAAAAAAAAGGCAGTGGCCGAACTCTATGATAACATGTAAGAATGCAAAAATAATTTGACACCAAATTCTGGTGAAAGAAAGAAAAAGATCAAAAAAAAAAAAAGTGAAATATTTAACGGGGAAAATGCAGACTCTTAACGCTGCCGCTGAAGGGCCCCAAACTCTTTGACTGACTTCAACCCCAAACTCCTGACCAGCCTTAAACCCCAGAGGCGGGGTGTATCGAGTATTTTCCATCTCATTCCTGCAACATCATTCAACCTGTTTCTTTTCTCTTCTTTCTGCCAAGATGGCAGAAACACACATGGATCGCCACAAATGACTTCCGCCATGGCAATGAAAAACAACAAAATGGAAAATATGAAAATGAGACTCCGAGCTGCTGATTCAACATATGGCCCCGCAACTGACCCAAACATCATTTCCCAAAACCGTGATGAACTGACTCATGGTATGCAATCTCAGACCCGACTCTAGGACACCCAATGCATGCAAAGAGAAAAAGGATAACATGCCAAGTAGGAGCCAGCGGCATCAAAAAGAAATCGCTTTATTTATGGCCAACTTGGCCCACTCAGCAGATTCCTTGATCAAATGATCATCCGACGACAAACATTCATTTAGAAAGTCTCTACTTGACACAGATTGCTGAATCAAGGGACCAGCAGTACTGCCCAGTGTATCAGCAAGGTCTCCTAGGACCCCAATGGCGGTCTTAGACACATGTTCATCCCTGAAAGAATTAGTAAAAAAGATCAGACACTAATGGTTAGAAATAATGAAAACAAAGTCAGTAATAAGATCCAAAGCTACTCTATAAGACTTACATGTCCTTCCCCATAAATAGACTATCCACGAACTGCAGGACATGAGGCGCATAAGGCATCAACAATTGGATCTTTGTAGAACCCTTAAATCCTTGAAAGATACCGGAGTATGCCTCCAAAATTCCATTCCTCAATGTATTGGTGTACTCTATCATATCTTCATCGTCATCAGTTGATGTCCGGACAGATAGCTCCGCAGCACCCTGAAGCATGGGCATAGCATAGACCAAGTACTTCTCGAAGTTCTCTCCAATTGCCAAAGCAATGTCACCAAAGCATGAAAAGATAGGAGGCTTCACAGATCGGTGCAATTGATTACTTGACAAATTCTTGAGGAGTTGAGTCATAATCCCATCACAATAAGGTAATATATTACCCTCTAGCGCCCTGCAAAGATCCTCTACAACACCAACTGTAATGGCACAGACCCGGTAGTCTTCAAAATCTTGCAGACCCATTTCCAAATATCTATAGAAGTCTTGCATGTATTTTGCAAAATCAGGACCTGCAGAATAGGCAAGAGATCCAATGGCAAGCATAGCCTCTTCGTGTGCCGTAGCACTTTTACTACCAAATACTCTAAGAAACAGAGTCATCATCTGGTCAGCAGTCTGCAAAAACAGACTCCTTGTTGGTTCCGATGATCCCAACTTCTGTATTATGACCTGCAAGCAACCACAGAGAAGACCTTGTAGTTCATTCTGCCTCTCCCTCTCTTCAGATGAAATATTCGGTGCCGCAAAAGTCTGATTCAACTCATTCATAATGACAGGAACCAAATGCAACACCATTGAAGCAGTCTCATCAGTGGAGCACCTGACAACTTCATTTAGCGTCTCATAGGCTGCTGTTCGAAGGCGTGATTCTCCAGCATCAGGCCGGTGAGTCATGTTGAGAAGGGCCTGTATAATATCTTGAAAATTGGGAGTTAGTGGGGAAGATAGTTCCGCATCCTCATAACCCTGGGCAAGAAAATATAGAGCACCACAAGCTTTCTCAGCAACATTAGGTACATCATTCATGCTGTGAAGGAGAACCTTAATGATCTGTTGGCAATTTGCTGCGGTAATTACGGTTGTGTCCAAAGTCGATCCGTGCAGAAACTCAAATATTCTTCCAAGAGTCCACGCAGTGGTGTCTTTCACATGATTATTTGGATCTGTCATCAAGGCGTTGAGCATAAAGTTCAGACCAACGTTAACAAGAGGCATGAGCTTATCGGCGGATGGACCTTCAAGAATTGAACCAAACGCATAAGTGGCAGCCTCCCTTTGCCTCCAATCTGGTTTTGTTATATTCTCTTCAATGAATGGCATTACAAGTGGGACTATATCATCACAAACTGTTCGTGCAACCAACCCCAAGCACGTTCCTCCAGCCATTGCAATATTCCAAGCTCCTTCATCCTGATCCTGATCCTCTTCCTGCTTCTGTAAAGTTTCCAATAACAAAGGGACAAGAGCAGGGAGAGCCTGCTTCACAAAATTAAAGCAAGGAATATCAGAATCTCCCGTAAAATCTCCTCCATACTCTTCTAAAATATCTGTTTCCTCATCACAAATTGAACTCCAAAATTCAATGGCTTGTAGCGCAACAGGTTCCTCATCTTCCTTGATAGCTTTGGCCGTAATATTGAAAATATCATGAATATATGGAGCCAACTTCTCATAGTACGTTGAAGATATAGCTACCAAACACTCAAAGGCTGCCTGTCGAATCCTCAACTCAGGAGAAATAGTGGCTTCACAGACAACTCTCATAATGTAATCTCGTTCCATGTCATTTGAGAAATTTGCCTGAGCAAAACCCAGAGCATTATACAGTGCCCGTGTGGCAGCAAGCCTAACATCATTGTTACTCTCAGAAGCATTCATGCCCTGAACAACAGCCGTAAGTATCTTATTCACCTCGCTCTGATCTATCACCTCAGAAGAGACTTCCTCACAAATGTATCCAAGAGTTTCAAGAGTGGCTTGTTTTGTGTGAGCCACAACCTGGTGAGTATTTGACAATAGAGCTTCAATCAGTTCAGGCCATTGTTTATGTGGCAACTCAATACCAGCAACCTTTGCAATGACTTGTGAGGCAGTTGACCGTGCATCAAGGGCAGGAGACGTTAGAGTCTTTAACAAGAAAGCTTTAATCTGAGCCTTCACAGGTTGGTCCAATGACAACCATCTTTGCATGAGTTCAATCTTCCTATGGTGTTCTTTGGCATCCAAAGCATTCTTGAGGATTAAACCAGCTAATTTACGACTCTCAGCGGGCTTTTCATCATTAGCCAATTCACCGGCAAGGGAGAGCAAGAAGATTGGAAGATTTTGCTCCTGAAATTGCTTCAGATTTTCTTCGGCGTGCTTGCGCACAGTACCATCCACGGCTTGGGCATTTAAAAGAATTTGGGTGACCTCCATTGCCATTTGAATCTGGAAGGCTGGAACAAACAAATTAAACCAACTCATGGGATTAGTGGATCAAGATTTCTGATGTTTCTTCTAACAAGTTTAAAGTTCAAAACTCGCAACAAGACATACAATATGCTAACTGAAATTTACCAGAGAAAAGAACGGGAACAGGATGAATCTGGAGAGATTTTAGAGATATATAGGTGACCAAATTATGTCATACTATCTATGGTAACATATATATATATATATATGTAGTTTGTAATATGAACCGTAACAGTTGATGATACTCCCAACCTGAATTCCAAAGTACAACCATTTACCACGGTTAAAACTTAAACTTATCATGTAGATTGCAAAATAGAGGAATTATTTCAGTATAACAGGTGAAAAAGATAAGCAAGCATCAGTTTTCAGTATAAAGTTGAAACCTTTGCATGCTATTCCTGGGTGGACAGCAAGAATTTCTTCAGAAATCCTCACAACAGTAGAAAATATTGAATAACACGTAGGATTTAAGCAGTAGAAAAAGAAGGAAATCATATTTATTCTTCTCAAGTCTTAACTCAGATAAAAACCAACAAGGAATTTCAGCTCTAATTTAATGGATGATGATAATGATATACCATGAGCAGTATAACAAAAAGTAGAACCCAAAATGTATTATATAAAAATAACAGATCGAACGAATCTACATATCCAAACAAATAGCTTAATCAAAAACTGGTTTGCCGTTCTTTTCATAAATCCTTGAGATCGACACATAAAAATCAAAACATATGCAGCGATTATCCATATTGAAATTCTCCCATTACCCTCAATGGTTAAAAAACTAAAGAAAAAATTTCTACCGTTGTGCTGTGTTTGGTCACCGAGAACTAAGAGAAAAGAAAAGAAAAAGAAAACTAAATGCATAATTAAAACATTCCTCGTATCCTAATTCCAGACTGGAAAAACCGAACTTAAAATTCAAAACTAACCAGAAATATATACATAGATTTTCTCATTGAATAGCCATAAAACCTATCTAAACATCATCTAATCCTCAAATTTCTCAAGCTCCCCAGCCAAAGCAGAACCCAGACGAACCAAACAATGAAGAAACAGTAAGAAACCGATCTCAGTTCACATAAATGGAGAATCGAATTTCGAAAAATTCACAAATCACGGATCTAAATACTCAGATCAGAAACGAGAACGGTAAATCGAATCGCTAAACTTCCAAATAGTACACAAAAGGGGGGAAATCAAAGAAAGCACTTACTTGGCCCGAGTGATGAGTTGACTCGGCGGCAAAGCGCAAGCAATCAATCCGAGTCGAAGAAGAGAAGGCAAAGCAGAGGAATCGGAAGACACGGCGACTCCGAGAGACTGAAACCCTAGCAGAGAGAGTGTTTGTTGGGAACGAAAGCAGAGACGCCGATTTTGTGAAGCCGGGACTGACAGGGGAAGAGAACGAAAAATGAGACAGACGAAAAATATGATGATATATATTAAAAAATTAGGTTACCAAAAAAAAAAAAATTTTTTTGTCACTTCAGCTTTCGTGACGACACTTATCAATTATCTCATTTTCACCCCCCCGACATTCACTTTAAGGTATCGTTGGGTAGGAGAGATAAAGAGGGGAAGAAATTATTATAATAATATTTTATATTGTTTAGTAGAAAATGGTGAGAGTTAAAAAGATTGATGAATGAATATATGATTAATTATTAAATTGTCTTTTTTATTAAATTTAAATAAAAATTTTTGAAGGATAAAATGGTTTTTTTTTTAATTTTTAGTAGATGGATTGTATGCATCCATATCTATAAGTGGAGGGATGTAAAATTAAAGGCCTAAGTGGATTGAGTCTCTCTCCACATTTCTTTTTTATTCCCCTCTCTATCTAACCAAATAAGAAATTCTCCCTCTTATCTTTTTCCCTCCACCCACTTCTCCAACCAAACACACTCTAAAATGTCTAACTATTTGAATTTTTCTAAACTTTTCATATCTCTTGTAAATATACTTACTTTTAAACATAAATCTAGCACTAGAATGACACAAGAATAAATAGTACAAATAATAAGAAGATTTAAAATACTTGAAAATTAAAATAAAAAAACAAAAATTATTTGAAATTGTCTTTTTTGTCTAATTCCTATTATTTGTTAGATTATTAACAGCATATTTAAAAGGGTAAATTACATTTTTTTTTCCTCAGATTATAGGTCTTGTTATAAAATGTTCTTTAAATTTTAATTTTAGTTTTTTTCTCCCGAACTTTAGCAACTCTAACAAATTCTTTTCCTCTATTAAATTCTTACTTTTGCTATTGTCGTTTGCCGCCATTGATGAACCTCTAAGGTTTCTTATGTCAAGTAAATTAAGAAAAAAATAGTACAGTAAAAAAATGACAACTCTTACTCTATAATCGCACTCTATGTGACTAAACGAGGAGGAGTTAATAGAGTAATTATGCACAAAAAATGGTTCAAAGACATTCATTATTTGTGTGATACGTTTTATTTCTGTTAAAAATCTTAACATACGGAGTTTTTTTTTGTTAGTCTTTATATTTCACGTGATATTTTTAGTCAAAAATTTAGTTGAGGGGGAAATTTACAAGAGTTGTTGAAGTTTAGAGGGAAAAAAGCTAAAATTAGAGATCGGGGGCATTTTGTGACAAGGCTTATGCTATGTTTGGTAGGAAGGAAAGAAAATAGGATGGAAAGGAAATATGCAAGTAATGGAAAATAGCAATGATGGAAAGGAAATTGATTTTCTTTTATGTTGTTTGGTACGAGAATATGGAAAGAAAATGAGCTTACCTTCACTTATTTGGTATTGGAAGTTAAATTGAGTGGAAAGAGAAAATCTTACTCATAAATTACTTTTATACCCATGAATAATATTTGTAAAAAGAATGTGAATAGGTAAAATTATACTTCATGATAAAGCAACATGAACAGTATATTATTCCTTCTAAAATTAGGCCATATTTGGAAGGATAAAAAAGAGGTGGGCCTCATGGCCTAAAAATCTCTCCTATTTTCCTTTCCACTTTCCTTTCCACTCTACCAAACAACCACTATAAGAGTTTTCCCTTCTTCTTTCTCTCTATCCTTTTCTTTCCTCCTAATAATCCATCATACCAAACACACTGTTATAGTTCGAGGGGAAAACGTGTAATTTGTCCTATTTAGAATATAGACATGGTGATCAATTTGACCTATCAGAAATGCTAGCATCACGTTTTCTGTTACTCTCTGCATTTATTGTTCGACAGGCAAACTTCACTATCACTTTTTCTATTTAAATAATAATATATAATGTTAGTGGATACACATGTGAAATTGTGAATGCAAATAGTGACAAAAAGAGTAACCTTAACATTTTTCTTGGACCAATAAAAAAAAGACCATACATAAAGGGTAAATAACTCCATTAGTCCATGAACTTTGAGTATAGTAACATTTTTGTCCTGGACTTTTACATATTTTATCCCTGAACTTTTATTTTTAACAACTTTGGATCGTGAAAGTAAAATTGATGAACAATTTCTGAAATTTGACAAAAGTAAACATATGTTAATCACGTGATAAGCTAAAATTTAGTTTTTAGCACAATTGCCTCCCGAACTTATCGTGGTTTTATAAATTGCCCTCTAACCTTTAACCTTCTAACTTTTAATTTTAATAATCAACCTCCAAACTTGTAAATTTGTTACACTATGTCCTATTTTTAAAAATTTGCTCAAATTTTTTTATTATATTTAAGGGATTAAAAGTTGAGAAATTGAAAGATTTGTGTTACATTTTAATTGGAATGTTAAAATTTTTAACTAAACGTGTTTTTTCGACAATAATTTAATATAATCGCCGTCAAAATGGGGCATATTGGAACACTTTATAAGTTGAGGGGGCAACTTGTAAAAATTAAAAGTTTAAAGGGCAATTTGCTAAATCATAATAAGATTAGGGTCAAATGTGCTAAAAACTCTTTAAAATTTTACATAAAAGGTTAAATCATATGTAAAATTTCCTCTCTATTACTATTAAAACCTAACAAAAATTATAATATTCTCCATATATTGTACTATTTCTGTAACATTTTCGGTTATTGTACCAGTGTTGTAAGTTCGGACAGCGGGCCTGCCCGAAACCTGAAAATTTTTTAGCTCGACAGGCAGGCACCATTCGCCGCCCGTCTACACATTTTTGTGGGGCTCGGGTAGCCCGAGGAAAAACCAATTACGGCAGCTCACCACCAGTGGAGAAGCCGTGACCGCTATTCGCCGGGATTTTTTTTTAATTTTCCAGCGTAACCCGAA